GATTCATTTTAAGAGTCTTGTTGATGTGTATTAAACTGGTTGTAAGTAAAACATGGGAGGGAAAAATATTTACGGTGACGGGGCAGCTTTTATTTCTGCAAATACATACAAAACATATTTTTGGAAACTATTGACATCAGATTATAATGTCCTACTTTTGTCACAAAAGGCACTTTCTATTGATGTAACTGACTCTAAGAGTGAAACTGCAGCTGAATCCCCATATACAGCACAATATTAAGTAACACAGCATCACCACATATGCAAAACACATGTGCTTTCGTGTGCACACAGATTGTTTTGCTAAGTACTTAATCCTAACTCCGATGGTTGACTCCGATGGTTGACTGCACTGGCACTACTGTACATATTAGCTTTGAATAAACCTGTCGCCTGTCGACTGCAGGAGACGCCACCCAATGAAATATCGTGTTTTTCATAAATGTTTTATGTAAACTTGAGTTGAATAAATCAGAACATAATGTCTACATTTTCAGTAAACGGTTCAATCACTTAAAATACCATATGTCCATATCAGTTTACTACGGCATTGTATTTTGTATGTCATAATTGTATTGTAAAATTGTTAGGACAAGGTATCAAGCTACTATTTTAACATGACGAGGATGTAAAAGCATTATATAGAGCGTAACACAGTAACTTTACAATGATATAGTTTTAGCATGTTCAGCCAACTGTTGGCAACTTATCTACCTTCAGTGTCAATCCCACAAGCTGACAGACCCGCGAAGATCCGGGTTAGAATAGGTCTTCAGCAACCCATGCTTGCCGTAAAAGGTGACTATGCTTGTCGTAAAAGGAGACCAACGGGATCGGGTGGTCAGGCTCGCTGACTTGGTTGACGCAAAGTCCGTGGTTGACGCATGTCATCGATCCCAATTGCGTGGATGGATGCTCATGATATCAATCACTGGATTGTCTGGTCCAGACTCGATTATTTACAGACCGACGCCATATAGCTGGAATATTGCTGAGTGCGGCGTTAAACAACAAACCAACCAACCAACCAACCACAAGCTGACCTTTGGAGGGTTGGCCTGTCGGATAGTGATTCCAGAATCACAGCATTAGATTGGGATGGCGAAGCAGGCTTTGGCAATGGGATGCGTTTAGACTTGCTATGGTTCTCGTTGTCAAAAGCTTAGTGTACCCAGCAAGGATATTCGATTTCCAACATATGCTTAGGTACTACATTCATTGTTACATCTGAATAATAATGTGCATTAACTTATGCATTTAGGACCTCGGTAATCTGATCCCGGCGCCTGACCCTTGTTCTTTGCGCCCATGCCACACCCCTTTAAGTTTCCAACACAGCGATCGTGTCACATATATGTACTTCTTCAACAAGTAGCTCCCTCTTCTCCTCGGTCCAATTCGGCCTCCTCTTGCCACCATCGATATTAACCGCCGCGTCTCGTTCATTTACGCTTACACTCATGTGCAGAAGGCAAAGTGTTCACATTGAAAACGGAAGTCAAATCTCGCGCCAAGGCCGCTTACATCGCGTAAAAAAACCCCAACCAAGATCGATCTCAAATGCTGAGTTATTAACTCAGCTTAGTTTTAGCTGAGTTTGATTCGTGAAACGCTTTTGAGTTAAAAACTCAGATGAGTTTTTGCAAACTCAATTTGAGATTTGAGTAAAAACTTAAGTTTGTTTCGAGAAATCGGGGCCAGGTCGATGTCATACATCTGGATTTTTGCAGCATACGACATTAAACAACAAACAATATTCGATGTTGAAATGATAGATCAGGCCAAAAGATGTCGTCTTGTCCGACATGAAAGTACCATCAACTCATATCAAGTATAACTCATATCTTATAAGGTAATATTACTTTTTGAGCGACCCCACATACGGCACATGATGTACACAGACTACTGGACAAGCTATTCGCCAATTACAGTTCTCTCGTGAGACCGGCTCACGATCAAGGCAACAATTAGTGTTGACTTCAATATACATCAAGTGGAATTCTTGGTGAGTAAAAACTGCATCTCATCCGTAGGGGGCCTATCATTTGTTTTTCTGAAGGGGCCCGCGTTTCTTTAAACTTAATTTGTTCTCCTCATGTTCGACTCGAAGCCAAAACTGAAAGACGCATATTCTGCGGCATGATCATTGACCAACACCAGAAAACTGCTGCCATCAGAATGCAAGATTGTCTGAAAAGTGTAATTATCAATCAACAAGCATTGTCCTGTCAGCTTTGAAATGTATTTCATAGTATATGTGTTATAATTTCAGAATATTAAAACACAAGAAATGAAATCACAGGGATATTTCAGCATTGTAAGTAGACACTGTTGACTAAATTGATTGATTTACCTATGACTATATAAAAGCAAGAAACCAGTTCCGTAATCAGTGAACTAAAATGGGGATGGTCAGGCTCCTTTGTGACTTGACTGATTGCATGTTGTCGTACCTATTGGCATGGGTCGTATGCAATGCGTAAATAAAATATCTATTATTACAGTACTGATGTGATACATCCACATTTCAATAATCGTGTAATATTTGGATCAGGAATCTAGTTAAAAACTATTGACGTTTGGCTTGGTATCACCTGGTACTGCTGTGCGCGCCCAATGATATGCTCATGTGGAGTTTCTTTATTTTCCCAAATCATCACTTAGAAGATAAATATCAGCATCCACGATGATGTTGACCGTCACATCATCTGTTTCAATCAGAAGTGTTTTTTTGTGATTCGAAACCCTCGGTTGAACAATCAGAATAAGTCCTTTTTCAATTCAAAGTAGAATGTTCCATAATACGTTCCCACAAAACGAGTAGAACGTGGTATTTGAACTATGGTAGTAACTTTCTTTTAATTGGCTTCGTACATTTTGTTCATCTTCATTTCACAGAACTGGACAGACGAGTTCCTGGTATGGGACCCAACTGATTATGGAGGAATACAACACCTTTGTGTCCCGGAAAACAAGATATGGAAACCAGACTACATCATTTACAACGAGTAGGTGAATACTTGTTGTGTAAAGTATAAAACTATGGATTTTTAAACAGTGAATTCTGGTTAATTCGAAGTTTCTGAGGGCCATTGACGCGACACCGACTTAGACGTAGTTCGAGACAAACGATGTGCTGATACAAAGCCACGTGGTCATATGCAGTAAGCTGTGGGAATTAGGTCTTCATTAACGATATGTCGAATCAATGTGGTCCGTGTAAATGATATATCGGATCGATACAGTTCGAATTAACGATATATCAGATGCATAGAGCTCAGGTTAACGATATACTAGATCAATATTGTTCGAGTTAATGACATATCGGATCGATAAGGTTAAACTTTGAAATTACGATGTACATGTAAGAGATCAATAGAGTTCAAGTTAATCGTATATCGGAGCGGTTGGGTAGCCTAGTGGTTAAAGCGTTCGCTCATCACGCCGAAGAACCGGGTTCAATTCCCGACATGGGTACAAGGTGTGAAATGTGCGAATATTGCTAAAAGCAGCGTATAACCATGCTCACTCACTCACTGTATATCGGTGCAATACGGTTCGCATTAACGATATATAATATTAAAAGACTTCAAGTTAAAAATACATCGGGTCACAACGGTTAGAGTTAACGATATACGCGATCATTCGATTTCAAGTTGAGGACATGTTGGATCGAGATAGTTCGAGTTAATGATATATTAGATCAATATGAAGTATTACACTGAAGTATGGAGGATCCCAACCTTTCAATAAATACTCATAAGTGTATGTGGTATGGTCAATACAACATCGTCGCATTATGACCTTTTCACATCTGAACTGACAAGTAGAAATGACCGATTGTTGGTTTAATTTGATATAATTGATTCATACCTACATGGGTGTCCCACGTCTTTTGTATTAGATCTCAAATGTAACATCTAATCACAGGTTTGTTATAACTGCATGGGATCAGAAGTAGTGTCACAGAGTGCTGCTTTAGGGGAAGCATCAGCCATTCTGTTACCAAAGACTCCAACATGGCTTGGTAACAACCACAAGACGATGTTGTATTGGTCAGTAGTAAATTATTATGTAATGCAATGATGTCATAACACAATATTTGTAATAGCCTGAAGACAGGACGGAGAGCCTAAAAGCATAAAAAATTGGTTATGTTACAACTGTTTATTGATATATAAACTAGTTGATAAAGTTCTGGATCTAACGATAGTGGGGCTGGCGACATCGTCTCCACCCTTGGATCCAACAATTTGAGTTGAGTTAACAATATATGAGATCAATAGAGTTCAAGCCAACGATACAACAGATCCAACCAGTTGGAGTTAAAGATATATGCGCTCAATAGAATTTAATCTGGATCACTGTAGGTCGAGGCTTCACGGCACATCGCCAAATATTATATGTTAGAGTTGATACTGAGAGTATTTGCCTCAAGTACAATTAAAGAAGAATGGTATCAGGAAATTGATGAAATGAAGATATACGAATGAAATCTAAAGTATATAAAGTAACTAAAATATATTCTTCTGAAGGCGTAAGTAAACATTATTTGTCGAGTCATTCATTATGTTTGACTTCATAATGTATTGTTGGCAACAATTCAGCTTTGTGACGTCTCAATACTTCATCAGACCAATTAGCTTTGAAAATGTGCCAATATATGGAAAAGTTATTTGCACTCGGCCTTTTAATCTTAATTTTATATTATTTGCACTTGATCATGATACTGACTTATGTGACCCTGATTACATCATATAAAACGTATACCATTGAATAATAGTCATTGCAATTGTACTGTTATTAATATACACATATATACGTCATTTTGCAGAGTAAGTGCCAACGCATGGATTGGAGATGGCATCAGTTTGGTAAGAATATATTTCAATGGGCAGATACTCTGGGAACCTAGTTATATTGCTACAACAATATGTAACGTGGACATCAAATACTTCCCCTTTGACACACAGATCTGTTCTGTGAAGTTAACGTCATGGATGGCGTCGAACATTAGCCTTCACACCTACTCAAGGACGGGCGTTTCTCTGGGTAAAACATCGGAAAATGGGGAGTTTGAATTCACCAATCACTGGGTTGAACACTCATCTTTTCTACTGAAGCGTTTTGAAAATGAAGCAATTGATGAATTACATTTCTTCGTCATTCTGAAGCGGAGAAGAGCCTTCTATTGGCTATGTCTGGTGTCACCACTGCTGGTATTCCCCTTGCTGAGTCCTCTAAGTTTCCTGGTTCCTGCAGACAGTGGGGAGAAGACGGCCCTGGCCATCACATCCCTACTGTCAATCTTTGTCTTCATGTCGTCCATCTATGAAACGCTGCCTAAGCTTTCTAACACTATCTCCCTTTTCGGTAATATTTAGGTCTCAATTGTAAGGTGTTGATACATGAAAATTAATCACTGCACGTACATGCATAGACAATGTCTGCAATGGATCTGTGACGGTGAATTATCCTTACAATATAACATCTCCTGTCAGAACTGAACAATTTAACTCAAGGTGAATATGTAAGTGAAGACAGTGTGAGTTGCATTCGGAACGTACTGAACAACAAAAGTTCCTGTGACATTGAATAAGATTTAATTATGTTCTGTTTTTACCACATCTGAAACAATTTCGGTTTGCAGCAGATAAAAGACTCCTGTAAGTGTTCAAATGGTTTAATTTGCCATACTGACTTCAGAAAATGCGTGATTTCATAAAAAAACATGAACATGCCAAAATGTCAGTTTACAAATCAATAGCGTGTGTGTCCACCTCTGGTTGTTATGCAAGCAACACATCTTCGTGTCATGGAATGGACCAGGCGTCGCACAAATTAAAGTCCTGTGGGATATCTGTCCTTATCTACTGGAACATTTTTCGAAGTTCCTGGAGTATCTGTGGATCACGTGGTTGACGTCGAAGGCGCCGATCCATTTCATCCGACATGTGCTTGATTGATGAGAGATCAGGGAAGCGAGCCGGCCAGGGGATGACATTCACGTTGTTTTGTTGAAGAGAATCCTGAACAAGTCGAGCAATATGAGGCCGGGCGTTATCATGTTGAAAGGGAATGCCTGGGCCATGACGACGCAAAAACGGTAGAACAACAGGGCCGATGATCTCGTCGCGGTAGCGCTGTCCATTGAGATTTCCCTCTACCACTATCAAACGGGTCCTCTGTCTTGCTGTAATCCCATCCCATACCATAACGCTGCCGCCCCCGAACCGATCTTCTTCCATGACACAATGATTGACGTAGCGTTCACCTCGACGTCGGAACACTCGAATACGTCCATCGCTGTGGCTGAGGTGAAAACGAGACTCGTCAGTGAATAGAACTTGTCCCCATTGCATGGCCGTCCAGCGTAGACGCTGTCTGCACCATTGTAGACGTGCTTGACGGTGGTTTCCTGTCAAAATGGGACGTTGGGTGGGTCTTTTGGTGACAATCCCTGCACATCTGAGGCGACGAAGATATTGTGAAGATATTCGTCGAAGGCCAGGGATGCTTCTTGCAGTCACTGTTGCTGGCTGTAATCGATTTCGTAGGTGTGTTGTTCGAATCCAGTTGTCTTGTCGATTATTGGTTACGCGTGGCCTGCCACTCCGAGGATGGTCTCTGACTGCATTCGTCTGTTGCCAACGTTGCCATAAACACCAAATAGTGTTTCTGTGGACGTTAAATTGTCTTGCAACATCACGTTGACTCGATCCTAATTCAAGCATACCAATGGCTCGCAGACACTCATTTTCGGACAGGCGTGGCATTTCGTAATGTTGAATAATTGCGTAATTGTGTTGTTTTTCTGAGTGGTTGTTGTCAGCACGGAGCACCGTTAACGCACATGTTTTTATATCCATTCTTGGGTAGTGAAATGCATAGGGCTTGCATAAAAGTCATGTTTTGCATGGAATGCATGCTTTTCTGTAGCAGTTGCGTTTTTGTGACTTGATTCCATACATGTACTACAATATTGAAAACCAATCTTTACTTGTTTGAAAAATACACTAAAATATTTGTGTCACAGGAACTTTTGTTGTTGAGTATATTTTACTTGCTATAAGATATGAAATAATTATGCTCATCATTTAAAGGGTACACATGTATTGCAGAATGTGCATATGCATGTATGCACCCATAATGTGTACCAAGCATATGTGTACACGAATAGATATTCTTGCTTAAATTATGAAAATGAAGAGTTCAATGGTGTTTTGCAGAGTTGTGCTTTATTGCAGTCTCATAACGAGTGGGAGAGACCAGAAATGGGATTCTCACACAACAATTTTCCTTTGTCTTACACTTTAACCACAGGCAAACAAATACTTAGGCGATTTACTTAGATGTTCCTAATGGGGCTTTCAATCGCATACATGATGGCTTTGACATAAAAATACATGAACTTGTTGGTTTTCCTTGCAATTACATTTCGGTGCTGGACATTTAAAGACTTACAGTTGTATTTCAATGACAGTTACACTATCTCCCTTTCAGGCAAGATTTAAGTGTCAACTGTAAGGTGCTGATACATGAAAATCAATCACCACATGACAACATAACTTCTCCAGTTAGTCTTCAACAGGTTACCTTAAGCCGTATATAGAAGTGAAAGCTGCATTCGGAACGTTATATTTTACTTGCTGTAAGATATGATATAATCCAGAAATTATACTCAACGTTTATGTGGTAAACGTGTATTGTAGAATGTATAAATGCATGTAGGTACCCATCATGAGTTACAAGCATATATGTGCACTAATCGATATTCTGCTCAAGCATCAATAGCTTAACTCATTCAAATGCAGTTGAGTTATGCAGAGTTTTGCCTTATCCAGTCTTACAACCATTTGAAGAGAACAGTAATTGGCTTCTCACATAGCAATTGTCCTGTGTTTTACAATTTAACCACAAGGCTAGCAGACCTCTCAAGCAGATATTGATTCAATTAGATGTTCCTTACGTGGACTTTCAATCACATACACGATGGCTGTGACATATTTATGAACTTGTTGGCTTTCCTTGCAATTACATTTCGGTCCTGGCCATTAAAGACTTAGTTGTATTTCAATACAATACAATTTCTATACAGTAAAATGGCTGTTTTTATTCATTTCCTTTTCAGTGGTCCTGGCATCTGTTCAGACTTTCCTCAGCTTCCTGACTGTGATATGCAAAGTCACCATACTCTGTATCAATCGACTCCCATCGAACTACACAATCCCAATGTGTCTGAAGAAAGTATTCATAATGGAGGCACCGACGGCAAAGATCCTCATAGCAAAGAAGGGCAGCATGTTGAATGCTAACCTCGATGGAGAGACTGTTCACGCCCCTAGTGCAACTGTTACTTGGGGAATGGTTGCAGGATTCATCAACAGAATATGTTTCATTGCTTCTTTAGTGTCGACTTCCGTCGTTACCATTGTGATCGGATCAATGTTTTCCATTTGACTTAACGTGTACACATGTATTTGCTAAAAGTGAAATCACATTTGTTATTTTTAGGTTTCTGTGTGCTATTATTTTACAGGAGAACGAATAAGACAAATATTTATCACCCGCCCCGTAGTGAATGAACGGTTGGTAATATCTAGACTTGTCTGTTAAAAATATAATTAATATATCAAGCAGATTGAAACCTGAAACAAATGACATCCATTTCATATCAACTCGTCACATATCTATTATCTCGTGTCACAAAAGTATTGATGCATTATATCTGATTCTGTCTGATGTTTATGGGTATCATCGCTGATAACATTTGTGATGCTGAACCCTATTTGTATAACTATGTCATACCAAGGTTTTGATCACTTTCGCAATTACTGAGAGAGTACTTGTTAAAAAATCCCATTTAAAGAATAAAAGCGGTTGCAATCCTTCAGTCAATCTTATCTTCAATGTTAATGTATGCCGTAACATTGAACATCATCCAAGGCAAATAGATGTCACACGTCTCGAGACCGCCTCCGTGGTCTAATGGTAGAGCGTCCGCGTCATACCAAAAGACGTTAAAAGATGGTATTTGTTGTTACCCTGTCTGGCGCTCGGCATTAAGGGGCTAAAACAAGGACTGGTCGGCTCGGACCATGGTATCTCAGTGTGCTAGCACTATAAATCGGCATCAGTCCGGACAAGTACAAGCAGACACACACACACACACACACACACACACACACACACACACACACACACACACACACACACACACACACACACACACACGTGCATGCACGTCGCTATATAAGTGCAATAATCTTTGACGCGACGTTAAACCCCATTTCACCTCACCTCACACGTCACTCACCAAACAGTTCCCTTATGTTTTGTGGCTAGTATATTTCCCCACAGTTCTAAATAATCGATTATGTGTATCATCGTAAAATGATTTATGCCAGTATAGGTGGAGGCGAAATGTTCATATTGCGTAGTCCCGGCAAAGATATGACGCACCTTTTACCAAATGTCTGCCGACGCTCCGGGGGTATTTTGCAAAATAAAAGCATTTTGCATTGTAGCGGATGATTACATTTTGCAAGCATTTCTTGGTACAATGTACTTTTTTTCGATATCATCTCCCCACCCTGCCCTTCTAAACAGCAATTCAGAATATATTTCAGGAGCTTTCATCTTTGGACGTTGAAATCATGCAAAGGTCAGTCATGTGAGTATTCGAGTAAACCAACTGTCGGGTTACGATAACACTCTATCAACCAAGTCACCCAACCATTCATTGACATCAAGAGTGTCCATAGAGCGTCGGTCACCACTAAAAAGACAGTGGGACATACCCACAGGTGTTAATCCATTAATCCCTGTGTTGTTCGAAGTTTTCCAATGTTGGGAAACCGGGAGTACACCACCTGACTACCCGATCCATGAAGTGGATATGTAACAAAACACAGATATGATTTCCCTTCATGTCGATCAATGTTCAAGCAGCTCCAGCCTTTGGTGTTTTCATTTCACAACTTTTGAGGTACAATCGAGCATGCTCTTTCTCCCATACGACACTGCTCAGAAGTTGTTTGATCAAGGTTACAACATTCAAAGCCTCATTAAAGCTTTCAAAACGTTTTATGGTAGACATGTGGAGGACATTTCCAAATCAGTGACGAAAATGATGTCCGATGCAATTCCCTATTTTGACTTGTACAATATGTTCCCGTATTTGTTCAGGTGTAAGTTGATTTGCCTTTGCATGTGTTGGTGACGGGTGACGGTGGGACAGGATACGGTCACTATTCCGCAATCACCTGGTATCATTACTTTTTGATTGTGATTCATAAACACATGCTCTGATATAGTCGGAATCATACAATCGACTCTGCTTTATGCAGAGATTTCTATTGGATATGGAAAGGGTTTTGTCGCTTTATTTAAATATTTAGACAATTAACATCATTAGCTTTACATGAATATTGACTCACCTTATCAACTAACGAATAAAACGCGGCGATTTAACAATTTGTAATCAATATGTCTGCACACCTCTTGTTTACTTTCAAATTGACGCCAAAGTAAATTCTATGGAGATTGCCGTCACGTTATCCTGCCTTTCCTTCCCATTACAATGTTATTCTGCAGCTGGTTGGCAGGATCACCTCATTTTCCCGTATGAAATAGAGTCATTGCATAAGGTTGATCGGAGACCAACGATGTACCGTGCTTTGGTGGTAACGATCCTGATACTGTGTTTCAGTGATACAGGTGAGATGTCAGTGCCTCCATGAGGAGGGCCTATTTTGTTGTCTCCGCTTTTTTATGAGTCTGAATGGATCTGTGGTCAGACTCAGTGAGTTGCTTGATGGAGTTTTATCGTACCCCGACTGCGTTCGACGTTGCTCATAAAACAATCTTTGGATTATCGTGTCTGGCACGAGTGTTTACCGGCTGCCATCATAGTGAGTGAGTGAGTATGGTTTTACGCCGCTTTTTACCAATATTCCAGCAATATCACGGCGGGGGACACCAGAAATGGGCTTCACACATTGTACCCATGTCGGGAATCGAACCCGGGTCTTCGGCGTGACGAGCGAACGCTTTTACCACTAGGCTACCCGACCGCCCCTACTGCTGCCATCATACAGCTGGATTATTGAGTAGTACATAAAACAAATACAATATTCGATGTTACATTGATAGATAAGGCCTATAGATGTCCTTATGTTTTATTATAAAAAGTACCATCTAGAAAGAGTGGTTAAAGCGTTAGCTCGTCACGCCGAGGACTCGGGTTCGATTCCCGACATAGGTACAATTTGTGAGGCCCATTTCTGGTGTCCCCCGACGTGATGTTGCTGGAATTTTTGCTAAAGGTGGCGTAAAACCAACTCATACACTCATCAACTAGGAAATATAATTAAAGTATTACCAATATCTTGTATGTTATATTTACTTTTTGAGCGACTCCACATACGGCGCATGATGTGCACAGACCATTGGACAAGCTATTCGCCAATTACAGCGTTCTCGTGAGACCTGCTCACGATCAAAACAACCCGACGGCGATTAGTGTTGAATTCATGATGAATCAAGTGGAATTCCTGGTGAGTGAAATCAGCATATCTGTTTTTCTCCATAGCCCATAGGGACCGATTTGATTTTTGATTTTTTTAACTTAATTTGTTCCCGAAATGTTCGACTGAAAGCCCAAATTGTGGTGTGGTGTGTTGCCGCTGTAGCGGAAAACATAAGTTCAAGTCTCTCTACAAAAAAATAGCCCGTGCCACTATTGTCAAATGGTATCCATTTTATAGGAGACAAATCAGCCTCAGAATGTAATGGAATACACAAATTTCCCCTCAGGTTTGATGTAAAAAAATGTGTAAAACTGTTTTCGAAGAAGTGAAAGTAAAATTATAAAGCAGTTTTCTTACAAAACATCAATATGAACTGAAAAATGCAAAAATGCAACTACGAATATTGTCCTGTCAGCTTTGAAATGTATTTCATTGTATGTATGTTATAATTTCAGGACATTAAAACACGAGAAATGAAATCACTGGGATTTTTCAGCATTGTAAGTTGATGCTATTGAGTGAATTAAGTATTTTCTGCAACATCAGCAAATTTTCACATTACACATGATTGACTGGTTCAGCGCTCGCTCTTCACGCCGACGACCCGTCGTAATATATGGAAACAAGGGTCGGGTTGTTTTTTGGGCCATATCTTGAAAACTGTTCAACATATTTTAACTATATTTTGATCTAAATTTTAACTGGTTACATTTCCATGAAAACAATTTGGAATTAGTCTCTAAACAACTCAAGGCCGAATAATGACTCTCAAACCTATGATTATTTTTGCATTAAACCATACATGTGCAATGACCATATGCACAAATATTTTTAATTTAATTATAATTTTCAATTGTTTAAATTATTAATTTGTGGTGTTTTCAAGGAAACAATTTGGACTAAACAAGTCTCAAACAAGTAGCGTTTGGTTCCCGACGAAACTCAACAGTTAATGAATATTTCTTCATGAAACCATTATCTTTCTAGTCTATGATATAAGTTCCTAATATTGTTTTTCGGATTTGCAAACTCTTTAATATCAACAACTTGAACTAATGTTTTTAAGTAAAAACACATCCTAGTTGGATTTGGAATCGTGTTGTGTATCAAGACAACTATAATATGTGCTTGAGCGGTGTTTCTCTTGACCTTATCTGTTCTTCATTTTCTCATAACCAGCAACACGCGGGGCAAGGGGAATCGTATATTTGAGGAGAACACACTCAGTTACCATTTTAAACCGATTGACGTAATGGCTTGGTATCTTCCGAAACTGACGAGTCGTGTCATGTATTAAAATACAATCATATGCTCGTGGTGGTTGTCTTTATGTTCCAAAATCACCACTCAGAAGACAACTATTAGACTACGCGGCGATGCGGCCGTCACATCATCTGTTTTAAATAGAAGTGGTTATTGTGAATCGAAACTCTCGGTTGAACAAATCGGAATCAATTTTCGTAATACTTTCCCACTAAACGAGTAGAACGTTGTAATTTAACAATTGGTAATAACGTTCTTTTAATTGGCTTCATATATTTTGTTTATCTTTTTTCCACAAAAACTGGTCAGACGAGTTTCTAGTGTGGAACCAAACTGATTATGGAGGAATACGCTATATTACCGTCCCTGAAAACAAGATATGGAAACCAGACTATGTCATTGACAACGAGTATGTGAAAACTTGCATTTTTGTGTCAAATTATGTATTTTTAAACACAGTGAATCCTCGTTAATTCAAAGTTTCTGAGGGCCATGGGCACTACATCGACTTATACGTATTTCGAGACAAGCGAAGTGTTGATACAAGGCCATCGTATTCGTATGCATATAAACCCAGGCCAGAAGGTCTTAATTAACGATATGTCGGAACAATGGAGTTCGAGTTAACGATATATGAGATCAATGGAGTTCGAGTTTACGACATATCTTATCAAATTGTTTTTAAGTAACCGATATATATATAGGATCACTAGACTTCAAGTTGAGGATATATCGGATCAATACGGTACGAGTTAACGCTATATAAAGATGAATAGAGTTCAAGCTAGGTGCAGATACGTATACATGGCCATAGTGTCTACCCGTGAAGAACCGGGGTAGAAAAGGTCTTCAGCAACCCATGCTTGCGTTAAAGGCGACTAACGGGATCGGGTAGTCAGGCTCGCTGACTCGGTTGATGCATGTCATCGATCCCAATTGGATGGATCGAAGCTCATAATTGGTATTAATCACTGGCTTGTCTGGTCCAGATTCAACCACAGTGTCGATATGCAGTAGGCTCGGGCCATTAGGTCAACGTTAACGATATGTCGGAACACTATTGCGATATGTCAGATCAATGTGTTTCTTGTCAATGATATATCAGATCAATACTGTTCGAGTTAAGGATATATACTATGCCAAAAAAGAAGGGAATAGTTGGAATCATCAAGACACATCTTCTGATCTACATGGTATTGGCAAATGAAAATGATATGATCATATCTTGTGGGTAAGATCTAATGGGTCATAATGGTAGGTGTGATGAGATGGTGGTGCACGACGTCGTTGAAGAGGTCAGGGGTCAGATTCGAAATTTGCATGGTGCAGCCACCGTCGCTAATATCGGGTACTATATATGTGAGTCAATGGAGTTAAAGTTAATGATATATCTGATCAATGTAGGTCAGGCTAATGATAAGTTAATCTATAAAGTTTGGGATAACGAGGCTTTACGGTACATCAACAAATGTCACATGGTAGACTTGATACTGAAAGTACAATTAAAGAAAATGGTATGAGGAAATTGGCCAAATGAAGAAAAATGAATGACATCTCAAACATACAAAGAGAAGTGAAATGTATTCTTCTGAAGGCGTCAGTAGACGTTATTGGTTTGTCACGTCATTCACGATGTATCACATCATGATGTATTGTTCGCACCAATGCAGCTGTGTGACGTCTTATTATTTCACCTGACCAATCAGCTTTAAAAATCTTTAAAATGAAAAAGTGCAAATTTCGAGAAGGTATTTGCACTCGACCTTTTAATCTTAATGTGTTATTATTTTGACTTCACACTGACTTCTGTGACCTTGATTCAAACTTTCTGTTGCATTGCAAAGTCATGAGTACCATTAAACGGTCATTGAAATTGCAATTTGAAACTGTGAGAATATGTCATTCCAATGACACATTTAGTCTGAGTTCATAAACACACATATACGGTTTATTGCAGTGTCAGTGCCAAAAAGGGAATCGGAGATGAAAGAAAGTTGGTAATCATCGATTCCAGAGGACAGATACTCTGGGAACCTGGTTATATTGCTACAACTACATGTAACGTGGACATCAAATACTTCCCCTTTGACACACAGATCTGTTCTGTGAAGTTAACACCATGGATGACGTCGAACATTAGCATCCACAGCTACTCAAAGACGGGTGTGTCTTTGGGTGATACTTCGGAAAATGGGGAGTTTGAAATAATCAATCATTGGGTTGAACATTCACCCTTTCCAATGACTGGTTTTGAAAATGAAGCACTTGATGAATTACATTTCTTCGTCGTCCTGAAGCGGAGAACAACCTTCTACTGGCTGTGTCTGGTGTCACCACTGCTGGTGTTCCCCTTGCTGAGTCCTCTGAGTTTCCTGGTTCCTGCAGGCAGTGGGGAGAAGACGACCCTGGCCATCACGTCTCTACTGTCAATCTTTGTGTTCATGTCGTCCATCTATGAAACGCTGCCTAAGCTTTCTAACACTATCTCCCTTTTCGGTAAGGTTCAATTCTGAATTGTAAAATGCTGATAAATATAAATCTACAGCATCTACATACTTGTATTCGCACTGTCAACAATGAATCTGGGACAATGGAAATTACTTTCTCAATATGATCTCCAATCACAGTTATTTCAGATTTTCTTAAGCCGTGTAGATGAATGTAATCGCTACATTTGGAACATAATATTGTACCTGCTAATCGAGATAGTATGCTCAAAATTTAAATGGAATTTATGCATAAGAGAACTTGAAGTACATGTATATATGTGGCTCGACGTCATTGTTATACAGTAAACAGTTATTTATATATTCCTATTTCAGTGCTCCTGGCATCTGTTCAGACTTTCATCAGCTTCTTGACTGTGACGTGCAACGTCATCATACTGTGTATCCATCGACTCCCATCAAACTACAAAATCCCAATGTGTTTGAAGAGAGCATTCAAGAGGAATTCACAAACGGCAAAGGCCTTTGTTGCAAATGATGGCAGTATGTTGAGTGCAAACCTCGATGAAGAGAATGTTCACGCCTCTGGTGACAATGCAACTTGGGAAATGGTTGCAGGATTCATCAACACAATATGTTTTATAGTTTCCTTCGTCTCGACTACTGTCGTAACCATTGTGATCGGAGCCATGCTCTTCTCTTGACCATATGCGAAAATATGTAGTTGTGACAAATATTCATACATCTGGAATTTTCTGCGTGGTATTATTTATGGAAGAACAAATATTAAATGCATTTATACCAATCCCTTTGTAAATATATGGTTGTGAGAATAAGGGCCTTCCAAACAAATTTGATATCAAATAATGGAAATGTTAGTCAGTTTAAAATCTGAAAAACACAACAATCATTTCAGTGCGTCATATATACACTTGGAAATTAATTAATCACCACCGTACCCATATTCAACCAAAGAAGTTTAATTGTCCATATTTGTACATAGAAGATTTATCAAACAAATTAGTTTGATTCAATGTAAATACCTGCTGTAAACCACTGAATAACTGAAATACTGTTAAAAGTGGCCTGAAACCCAACTCTGACACTCCCGCACCACGTTATACGAACCTTATCTTCATTAACACTTTAGGGATCACGGGTGGCTAAGGCGCAGAGTTGCACGCCAGAAATCCATGATCTTGGGTTCGAATCCCGGTTCGCCCCGATTATGTTTCTATGTTTGTCAGCACCATACCCGTGCTTGTGGGTTTCACCGAAGTGGTACTCGTTTGAGACCTGCACACATCAAACTGACACGTTGTGATATACTGTTCAAAGCGGTGTTAAACCCAACTCACTTATTAACACTTTAAGTAAAGGACATAATCGATTCCACTGTCCCTATATTTATTCATATTCGACCAACCCTGGCATATATCAACACAACACTTCGCCTTGCTATTGGTCTACATAATAGTTGTAAACATGGCGTCATTCGACGAGGCCACCTTAGCGCTACGGCTGTCAAATCTATGTTAAGAGTATCGTACATGTAGTTACGATTGTTATAGTTCTGAGGTCGCTATTGAACGGTCCCAAGTATGAAAAGATAAAAGAGCCTCACACGTTGGTTCAATAACGCCTGTGTTTCTGTGATAACAGGCGATTACATAGCAAAGCAGCGGAGTCAATTATGTCCGATGCAATGTGTTATGATTTGCTAAAAACAGAATTTAGCATTTAGGGACCGGTCATTTATTACGGATGGGATGGGGTCAGAGGATTTTGACGCAGTAATATACTTGAAATAACGACCCTCCCCTGATGCTTATCCTACTTTTTTATATTTTGGATGACCCTCTCCATGCCCTTGTACATAATTATCATGACCCTCCCTGAAAAAAACAGAGTTTGGGGATGACCCTCCCCTAGACACTGTCATACTTTGGGTTGACCCTCTGCTGAATCCCTCTGATACGACCTCGTGGGGTTCATTCTCATCCAGCTCAAAATCGTTCCACTGCGCCTCAAAGTCGTGTGTACATGTAACTAAGCGGTCATTTTGCATTTCGAAAGCCAATTTAGCTACAGTCTATATCAGAGAACACATCGTAAAGAAAACATTACCACTAAACTTGTGTAATATGCTTTATTTATCATTTTTAAAAACAAAACGACCGGAACTTCATTTATAGGAAATAAGTTTCCATGATCACAGATACTGATATATATACATCACCTTATATGTTCTTAATGTGAGGGGCGGTCGGGTAGCCTAGTGGTTAAAGCGTTCGCTCGTCACGCCGAAGACCCGGGTTCGATTCCCGACATGGGTACAATGTGTGAAGCCCATTTCTGGTGTCCCCCGCCGTGATATTGCTGGAATATTGCTAAAAGCGGCGTAAAACCAAACTCACTCACTCACTCTTAATGTGAACTTCACACGGTATATAAGGTTTTACCTTTGGTCACAAAACTGACGTTCATAAGTCCATGAACGACACATTTTGACGTTCATACGTTTTTCACGGGACTGTATTCTTGAAATTTCGGAAACACTGCCGGACTACTTCCACACTCTTGGGGAAACCCCTACGAATTCCCTGCTTGCATAAATACAGAAGCGTTGTTTAGACCTTGTAATCTTGAACGTTTTGCATACAAACTATGAACTCGACCCATGTCTACACTGACAAGTGACAATCTACAGCAAACTACAAATTTATCCCAGTATCTATTTGCCATCACCATTCAATGATTGGCCAATTGATCAATGGTGATCATGACTAACACTTGTAATCGCCATAGTTTACATGTAAAATAGGGATAAAAAATAATAAAAATTGATTTTCACCTTGTGCAACTTCATTGGAGTTGCAGAAAGTGAAAGTCAATTCTCAAGCGTATCACATATCTGTCGCATGTTATCCCCCCCCCCCCCCCCCCCCCCCCCACCCCCCACCCCCCACCCCCCGGCAACATATTCTGCCTTGTACATGTTCATGGTCAAGTTGTCTTTACTTCGTGTGTCATACCTGTGTATTGTTTGTTTGTTGTTATTCAAGCTTTATGACGGCGGTCAGTAAATAATCGAGTCAGGACCAGACAGACCAGTGATTGATATCATGAGCATCGATCCACGCAATTGGGATACGATGCCATGCATCAACCAAGTCAGCGAGCCTAAGCAGCTGATCACGTTAGTCGCCTCTTACGACAAGCATGGGTTGCTCAAAACATATTCTAACCCGGATCTTCACGGATACATACATACCTGTGCATAGCTTAGTTCAAGGTGAACACAGTAATGACGAAATAATTATATACCTCCAAAGTGAACACAAGCTCAAGGTGAACAGAATAATAACTAAATAAAGATATACCTCCAAATTGAACACAGGTTCGAGACAGACTACCCCTCAGCCCTAATCCCCCTGAATTTCGGTTTTAAGCTGGATGAGAACAACCCGCCCGTGGAACCTTTTACATTACATAGGCACACAAGTGGATAAAAAAATCCCTCGTCGATTAACACGGATAAAAGCAATTACGAAATGACGATCAATAACGGTTAATGTGATTGGAGTACTCCTTTGGCTCTGTTATTTGATGAACAGCTAAGCATGTTGAAATGCCTGACCTGTAGATATTCAACGACTCTACTTAATTACTTTTGTTTCAATAACCTGGTACTTCGTGACTGCCAAGCATCAATATCCTGTAAACTATATACAATGATCATCTGAACGTATTAAAAGATGGGCATCATTTGTTTTGTTTGTGTGTTGTTTAACGCCGCACTCAGCAATATTCAAGCTTTAGGACGGCGGTCTCTAAATAATCGAGTCTGGGCCAGACAATCCAGTGATTGACACCATGAGCATCGATCCACGCAATTGGGATCAATGACATTGCATCAATCAGCGAGCCTGACCACCCGATCCCGTCAGTCGCCTCTTACGACAAGCATAGTCGCTTTTTAAAGCAAGCCTGGGTTGCTGAAGATATATTCTACCCCGGATCTTCACGGGTCAGATGTTCATCAAGTCTCAAATAATGGTTTGAAAGTAACATGTTTCTGATGACGTCACAATGGAAATCTTGGTACAGGTCAACTCAGTACAGCATGTTGTTTTATTAAACATACATGTACATAAAACATACATTTTTTCGGTTATAAATAATTGTTACGACTCACCCCGTTATCAATAGTTCATGTAAAATAACATCATTCACAAAATATCGTTACTGGATATCCTTGAGATTTATTAATGTAATCCCAGCCATGCCAACCAAAAAGAGAGGTGTTGGCATAGAATCGCTCGTGAACATTAATAATGCATAGTTTGCTGTTCTCCAGTTGTTACAGTAGCTGATAGTTTAGACCAGCTGAAATACATTCTCTATGACTAAATATTTTCTTTATCTATTCAGGACGTGTAACATATCGCAGAGGCATAGCAATAGGGCTAAATACTGGAACTAATTATATATTTAAAATTATTAAAATTAAAATAAAGTAAGCTTTTGGCGAATTTGACGTCGAATTATGTTCACAATACATATTATAAAATACGTAGAACTACATGTATGCTACAAACAGTATTAAACCTTGATAATCACGTGTTTGTTACAAAACAGTATTTTAACAGAAATGATTATTTTCCCATTTTCCCTTGTAACAATGTTCTCGTGATTTTTGCAGGTGAACAATTCACTTGCAAGTTGTTTGATTAAGGTTACAACATTCAAGGCCTCAGCAGTAAAGCTTTTCAAAAAGTTTTATGGTAGACATGTGGAGGACATTTCCAAATTTGACGCATCATGATGAATGACAAAAATGATGCAATTCCCTATTATGTACCATATGTTCCCGTATTTTTTCAGGTGAACAAATGACTTGCCTCTGCATGTGTTTGTGACGGATGACACGGCTAGGGCAGGATACGCTCACCTTTGAGGGAACAGTATAATCTTTATTTGATTGTGATTTATGAATACATGATATTGTCGGAATCGTACAATCGACTCTGCTTTATGCAGAGATTTCAATTGGTTATGGAAAGGGTTTTGTCGTTGTAATTAATTATTGTGACTGGAGTCCGGTGGGGCAAGATACTTACACCACACCTTTTCGGGAACACCTTGTATGATCATGTTACGTGTCGACTTCGAAATTGAAAAAAGTTAACCCAGAAATCTTTACGTAAAAGAAACAAACATTCAACAAAGAATTTGTATAATACAATTAACTCGGCTAAAAAAAACGATACAAATTACTGCACATCAATTGTAATGACTACACAATTGAATGGAAGTGCAAAATTCAAAGGCAGTATAAAACATATATAATAATAGCAGTGGCAATAGCAAAATTGTCAGCGATAACAATATTCACCTTGCAGTAACAGTGGTCAGGCTTTCACAAATGGCCTCAACTGGATATCCAGGGTGAAAACAATGATCCGCTGGTCTTGATGTAATGTGAGATGAGAGACGCATGTCCCTGTCAACTACATTTAGTCCTCATACCTTCTAGATGGTTCAATACCATGCTTGATTAGTATAGCTGTTCTAGAAGATTCCAGACTACATTTGACCCCAAACGCATCTGAATATAATAACTTCCATACCACTACTTACATTAGATGGCACTACCTCCCTTACAACTTACCATAGTCAAAACACAATTATGTGATTCTCACCAGAAACAATGTAATGCAATTACAACAGTGTATAACAAGAAATAACACTGCCATATATCAGTAACCTTTTCATAGTGATTTATAAATACATGCTATGATATGATTGGAATTGTATAATAAAATTCCGATCATAATGGGAATGTTTTTTGTCGCTTTTACTGACACTACGTCTATTGATTACACAGTCACTTCAGACATTTACGACATACTCAATGCCATTCAGATGAAGATATATTATTCATGTTGAAACTGGCGTGACCGTCCCACTGAGGATTAGAGGTGGAACGATATTCTCAAGAGCATTCAACGTGTAATGAGTTCTACTTTCGCACTTAACATTCCACTGTTAGGATGGCTCGTTCTTTGCTGGTGTTGGTTATGCTGCTCTGTGTCAGTACTGAGGGTAAGTGCAATCTTTCCATGACTTTCCACCATCTTCCCATGTTTTAAACATCAGCATTTTTTAACACAGCTTATTCAATTCGTAGTAACATCAAATGCAGATGTAACACTGCAACCCTCAGCGTAGGTATAACCAGGATTGTAAACATTTTCAGAATTTTACAGCGTCCCTGTAACCGAAGTGTTTCTGTAACCCAAGTTGTTCTGTCATTCTGAGTGGATCTGTAACCTTGATTATAGCTGTAACAAAATGGTTGATTTAACCCAAGTTGTTCTGTCACTGAGTGGATCTGTAACCTTGATTTTACCTGTGACCAAATGGTTGCTGTAGCCCTGAGTGTAAATGTCACCCAAAGTGTGGCCAGAACTTAATTATGTTTCCTCTAGCGTAGGGGCGGCAAGGTAGCCTAGTGGCTAAAGTGTTCGCTCATCAAATGTGAGTGAGTGATTTTGGTTTTACGCCGCTTTTAGCAATATTCCAGCAATATCACGTCGGGGGACACCAGGAATGGGCTTCACACATTGTACCCATGTCGGGAGTCGAACCCGTGTCTTCGGCGTGACGGGCGAACGCTTTAACCACTAGGCTACCCGACCGCCCCGCTCATCAAAGGGTACAAAGTGTGACACAAACTGCAGATGTCCTCCGCCGTGAGTGAGTGAGTTGGGTTTAACGCCGCTTTTAACAGTATTCCAGTTATATCGCGGCGTGTCAGCTATTCCAGTTATATCGCGGCGTGTCAGCTTAATGTGGGAGGAAAGCCCGAAGTGATGCAGGTCTCAGACGTTTACCAGTTCGGTGAAACCCACGAGCACGGGTATGGTGCTGACAAACCTAGAAACAAAATCGGGGCGAACCGGGATTCGAACCCACAATCATAGGTTTCTGGCGTGCCCAAGGGACGCAACTCTGCACAGCGAATCGCGGCGCTTTAGACGACTGGGCCACCCGTGCCCCCTCCTTCGCCGTGAATTTGCTGGAATAGTTGTATAAGCCGTGTAAAACCATACTCACTGACTGGTGTAGTGTTATTGTGGTGAAGATGTAGAGCAAAACGATACATATTGTGTTATTTTGTTACAGTGACCCCATACACGTCAGCGGACATAAAGAATTTAGTAAACACTATATTTGCTGATTACGATGTTCTTGTTAGACCTATCTACAACCAAAGTATTCCGACGAAAATAAATGTGGTCTTCTGGATGAAACAACTGGAGTTTTTGGTAAGATATAGACACAGCAATAGTTAACTATAGCATTACCAATAAATCTTCAAATACCAATACTTCAAATTATTAATCTACATGTATTCATACTTGTTCATATGTCGAATTAAAAGGAAGAGAATTGGAGTATCATTGATATATACGATTTGATGTATGATGTGAACACAGTAAAAATGGTTATAAAAACATTGGAGTTCGTCATAAACATGTTTCACTGTATTCACAATATATCGATTTGGACTGTTGAAATCTGTACGTTATATCTGTAGTTCGTTTTGGTGCGCTGGTTTTGATTCCCCAAACAAGGGGACCGACCATTTGATTTTTTTATTAAGACATGATATTTTTTCAGCTACATTTGCAAAACCAGTCTTCTTTTTAATTAAAAAGTATGGGCCTAGTTAAAAAAAAAATACAATCACACAACAATGTATTATTTGTGACGACAATTTATTTTTGTTTCAACAATCTGAAGCAGAATTATTTTTTTCAAGGATGCCTTCCCCCTGCCACCGAATATCAAATGGTCGGTCACTAAATGCAACGTTTTCATATTAAATATATGTGTTTCGGTATGCCGTAAGAATACAACATATACATAATACATAGAGCAGTCGCGAATTTTGAAATGGTTCGTGATGTCCGTGATGTATTGTAGGTGTCAGTTCAACCTGTATGTGACAATATCTGTTTTAGGACATGAAGAAACAGGCTATGAAGTCTTTGGGCCATTTTAGCATCGTAAGTAATTAAGGCTATGTGGAACATTCAATTTTACATAAAATCCTAATTATTACTAAATTTATTTATTATACGTTATGTTAATGATCTAAGTCACAATGTCATCGACCCGGCACGTTCCGGGTTAGAATAGGTCTTCAGTAACCAATGCTTGCCGTAAAAGGCGACTATGCTTGTCGTAAGAGGCCGTCTGAATTTTTGTTTTTTATTTGTGTCTTCAGCAACCCTTGCTTGTTGTTAGAGGCGACTAACGGGATCTCATTGTCTGGCTCGCTGATTTGGTTGATGCATGTCATCGTATCCCAGTTTTGTAGATCGATGCTCATGATGTCAATCACTGGATTGTCTGGTCCAGATTCGGTTTTTTACAGACCGCCGTCAAATAGCTGGAATATTGCTGAGTACGGCGTTAAACAAGAAAGAAACAAATAAACACAATGTCATCACAATACTGTGTGCGAACACTGTTGTGTTCATACTGATTTTGAAGTCACAAATGACATTTAATACTAAACAAAATGATATAATTCTTTTGCCGTTATGATTTACGTTGAGAATCCGTTTTATTATGTGTCAATACTCGGATACGTCGATGTTACTTAAGAGATACCAGAACATCAGGAACCGAATACAATTTCCAAGAAATGAAGGTACACAACTAAAAAATGAAACGCATGATATGTAAGTGATTCAGAAATGGCTGTCATTATCAACATATAATTTCACAATGCGCAAAGTATTGGTTTTCATTACCATCCGAAAACACCGCGTTTGGAGCACAAACAAAAAATGAAATCTTAAAGAAACACAATAAAAATTAATGTCATACAAATCTCACACAACATTTGATGCACGTCCTACTGGTAGCTATTCAAGAACAGGAGCCTCGATTTCACAAGGAGCAATGGACATTCCTACACTTACAACGTCATTGACCATTTGGAGGCTGGACAAAAGAAGGTTTCACGACTTTCGCACAGTTACCTGCCTCGTTCTGGAAGACCATGGGGGCCCAGAACCGCCCCATCTGCTCATGTCTCTTGCGTAACCGCTTCTTAACGGCCCCCTCTACCACTTCTGTAGTTCCAGGTCTGCGTAGAATAACCGACCAAATCGTTAGGAACCGTTTTAGGTGAGCAGAAATAAGAGCTCGCAGACCATTACGTGTCATTAATCTGCCACGTCATCAACGTCACCTTCAGTGGTGCCGAAACGATCATGGGCGTTCTCGACAGGAATGGAGGACTGTCGTTTTCAGTGATGAATCGAGATTTCACCTACGACATCCAGATGGCAGTACAGGTACACAGAAAACGTAATGAACGTTTGACGCCAAAGTGCTGTTCAACAGTTAGATACGTTTGCCGGTGGCAGTGTTATATATCATGACCATGTCTTCACTAGAAGAACAGAGCTTGTGCACGTCTCAGGCAACCCAACAGCCGTTCGGTACTGCAACGAGATCATTCAGCCACACACCATTCACTCATATACAAACGTAAAGTAGTCTTCAACATGAAAATGAAGGACGCAAAACCGATTTCCTTGAATTGAACAGCATCCTGTTCGTCGCCGCACTTTCACATCGCCAGATCTTAACCCATTTGAACATGCATGGAGCGAACTTGATAGACGTGATCTGTATTTTAGATCTTATGAACCTGAACTCTTATATGTGACTTATCTCATGTAGTTTATGATATCTTCATATTTGTATCTTAATCACAGAATTGGACTGACGAGTTTCTGCAATGGAACCCCGCTGACCACAATGGACTGAAATACATCACTGTCCCCGAAAATAGGATCTGGAAGCCAGATTATGTCATTAACAACGAGTAAGTTATTCATACTGAAATGCTCTCTGTGGACTAAACAAAATATTCACAAATTTATATACATCAAGTCCAGGTCAGAGCAATTAACGAGAGTGATTATTGCTAAACGCCGCATCAGCAATTAGCAGCTGTTAATGTTTACTCCCTTTGAACTATAATGTGTTGTATTGTACATGTTATTTTCGAGAGGAAAGTGTCTAGAGGGTTGTGCAAACATAGCATCCAAAAGCGGGAGTGATATGACAATCGGTATTGGGAGAAAAGGTACAGATAATCGATTGTGAGAATATGCGGGAAATACCAAACTTAACCCACTTGTTCATAAAATTGACTTTTCCGACATTGCCGACAAGGGATTCAATTCAGGGAGTCATCATAATTAAATTAAGGTAACTATTTTTAAAGCTTGCAAATTTGATCAACATCCTTAAAGAAGCTATACACAATGTTGATATCTAATTAATATAAGAAATAAACGAGTTGCGCCTCTCATGGTTTATTCTCCCTGCAGTGTTTTATTGTACGTAAACAACTCCCACTCGTCGCTTATTTCTTTAATAGACGCCTGCATGTACCTATAGTTGTTCGAACCCTTGGGGATTCTTAATAAGAACAGGTTCCTAGCAACCAATGATGCTGGTAAGAGGGGACTTACCCGATTGCGGGTAATCTAAATCACTGCATTGTCTGGTCCAGACACTAATATTTACAGGCCTTTGTCATATTGGAATATTTCTGAATGCACACTTGCACTCCTCTTTGATCTGGCAATTTTGAAGCTTGCCGAGTTGTTTACAAACAAAGCCGAAACAAACATCGATCCACCTATGAAGATGGAAAAAAACAAAGTAGGACCCGAACAAACCCGCGAATTGTATTCCAAATGCCAGATAAGTTCACATGGTCCCCTAGTATGGCAGCCTAAATCGGTTACTGGTGATATGCTGTTTTTTATAATGTGTAGTGAGATCCTTTTAAATTGAAATCTGCGATAGTCTAGTTACTTTACTGTCGACTGTTATACATGTTGATATATGGTCTAAATGTATTTTATTATCAATATAAAACTTTTTATAGTCACGATATGGCTGAAATACTGCCGATTTGACTTTAACCCATTGCCAATAATGTCTGTTTGGCAATGAAACATTGCATTTGTAATATCGTAAACGCGGTTTCTCAAACATAAACACTTCTTAAACATACACTTACTCATTCGTATGCATGGGTGTGTAATCGTAAAACGCATACATATAGCTGGAATATTTCTAAAAGTGTTGTAAATAGACAGATGAATGACAGGGAATATTTAGTCTCGACTATATATCTGCCAAAATATTCGTTGGGTCATTGAAATTCACTGTTCACATGATTGATATGAATTACTAAATCACCGACAACAGCCCCAAAACAAAAGATTGCGCTGTATATGCTCAAGCAGTTTAACCGCGTAACATTGCACTCTAGAATATGTCAAGCATTGGAACCGTGTAGCACAGCAACTTCATAATGACGTCACATCCCTGATGTGACGCAAAAGATATGACGTCAAAGTCGTAAAAAGAAATAATTGTAGTAACAGCAACATTTCATTTTGTAACCTTTAACCTTTAAAAATGCCTACCACAATTACTGTAAAAGAAGTACTATTCTATAAATGTAAGCCTCTGCGGTGATGTGACCGCCAAATCGGCTGTTTTAATCAGTCTTATGTTGAATGTGTTGATCTCTCATTCCATTTCTGAGTATTATTTATTATGATTTGATAACCTCTGATTGACCAATCAGAATAGTGTAATTTCAATATTCATGGTAGAATTGACATGACAGAGCATAGGCTATTAGCCAAGAGCAACTAATTATAGTTTGGTCACAATACCAAGGAACCAAGAAGGCATACGGTATCTCTGCTACCTGAAAGTAAACTCCAGTGCAAACACTCGCTAATAACATTAAGACTTAGGACAATGGAGAGGTGTTTTGTGTACGTTTTCATATAACGTCTATACGATATTCTTCATTGCAGCATCACATCCAAAAAGAAAATGGGAGATGGCAGCAGCTTAGTTGTCATTGAGTCCAATGGTCGTGTATTATGGGAGCCTGGGTTCATTGCTACAACTGTCTGTAACGTTGACATCAAGTACTTCCCGTTTGACATACAAAAGTGCCCTGTGAATATTACATCATGGATGACATCCAACATCAGCCTACGTAGCTACTCAACCAGAGGCATTTCTTTAGATTCGTTCACAGAAAACGGAGAGTTTGAAATAAAGGGCTTTTGGGTTGAACACACTCTCTTTCCAATGACTTACATCAAAAATGAAATGCTGGAGGGATTAGCATTTTTCGTCGTTCTGAAGCGGAGGACAACCTTCTACTGGCTGTGTCTGGTGTCACCACTGCTGGTGTTCCCCTTGCTGAGTCCTCTGAGTTTCCTGGTTCCTGCAGACAGTGGTGAGAAGACGACCCTGGCCATCACGTCTCTACTGTCAATCTTTGTGTTCATGTCGTCCATCTATGAGACGTTGCCAAAGCTTTCTAATCATGTATCCTTGTTCGGTAAGGCTGTATGGCTTATATCCTTCCTTGTGATTTAATTTTTACGAGCATCCGTGATGATCCGAGATAGAGTGAGTGAGTGAGTCTGGTTTAACGCCGCTTTTAACAGCATTCCAGTCATATCACGGCGTGTCAGCTTAATGTGGGAGGAAAGCCCGAAGTGATGCAGGTCTCAGATCCGAGTTAGAATTGGACGTCAGTAACCCATGCTTGTCGTAAGGGTCGACTAACGGGATCGGGTGGTCAGGTTGGCTGACTTGGTTGATGCATCGTCAAGTAGCTGGAATATTGTTAAGTGTGGCATTAAACAACAAACAAAACATCATAGGAACAAAATAAATATCACCTGAAACGTGACATTGTTTGATCTACAGTAAGGGATAACCTTCATTTTCTCCACTATCGGGACTGCACGTTTTTGCCTGGGCTTAAAAACGAAAATATAAGCCCATAGGCTGGCTTATATTAAATTGAAAAAGTGATTGATCTGCCATACCGGATTTGTTTCAACATGTGTTCAAGCACGCTTCTATATGGCCAATTTTCACTATTACTGCATCTCAGGTGCTGTTACAAGTGTAACAAGACACATTGGACCCCCCTTGACGTAGGTGATATTCCGTATACTCAAAATGGCATTTTAAACGCATATGACAGACAAGCATATCTGCGATATATGTTTGTTGTTATTTCTTGTGACAGCTGTCATTTCAATTTTGAACGTATTCTTTACTAATTGAAAAAGCAACTCATGTCTTATGTTGAAGTGTTGCTCTCTCATTCCATTTGGTAGGATTGTTTCATTACACTTAGGATATTCATTCTTCCTTTCATGTTTTGTCCTTTTTATTTTTAAGCCCTGGGCTTACATTTGGATAAATGATACTCAAATAAATTAGGTAAAAGGGGCCTAACAACGTGCAGTCGCGGTATATATATTGCCGACAATCGACAAGGTCAATCAACCCTTTGGGTTGGTAAATTGTCAAAGCATGTGCAGATTCTAAAACAAAGTACACATTCAACTTGTGATTTGGTCGATTTTATAGAACTGTATTTGCATTTGAGAACTTAACTTTTCCAATTATGTTTCAGTGTTACTGACCTCTGTTCAAGTCTTCGTCAGTATGCTAACGGTGGTCTGCAACGTCATCATCTTGTGTCTACACAGGCTTACCTCCCGCCATAAAATTCCCAAGTGGCTAAACATAATTGTCCAGCGGGACAAACCAACATTTACTTACTTAAATTGTGAGGACACCGCTCCGGAAACAAGGAAGATTAGTGATAGTGCTGACACGACATGGGCGATGGTTGCAGCATTCCTTGGCAAAATATGTTTAGGGTTCTCATTAGTTTGTACCACTATGATCACCATTGTGTTTGGAGCGTTAATGATCTATCAATGAACTACCGTCCAATGGCATTGTCGTTTCCATCGCTTGAACCTTCTGGTGACAGGAGCCAATCCTGACTGTGGCCGACTGTTTCAATTAGACTTGCTTCTGTCATGTTGAAGTATTGGCATATGAATTTTTCGGTGCCAACCAGTTTTTAACGCAACTAGTTGTTAGGTTGATATTACATGGTTTTGTGGCGGATTACAGAATGGTGTCACATTTGATATTGTGTTATTTTTTGGCACAGACAAGGATGCTCTCAGTTGAAAACGTCAAGAGCTCTTTGTCACATTTGCAATTGTGGGGTATTGCATTTTTATGTACCGTTCTACAACGATACATTCACGATATAATTCATATGGAGAGCACTGTCTGGATGTTTTATTGGCTTGTTTAACTTGTACTTTAAATTTGTCTCTAATGTAATGCGCTAGGTTGTGAAAAGTCATCTGTATTAATCAGATTGAGACTTACAATTAAGATTATTATGGCTATTATGGTTCTTATGTTTCTATATGAACTAAGATCTCACTTTGAGGGACGGTGGGGTAGCCTTATGGTTAATGCGTTCGCTCCCACAAACCCACGATCCCCGAGTTCGATTGCCCACATGGGTACAATGTGTGAAGCCCATTCCTGGTGATAGGAAAGCGGCGTTAAACAATATACACTCACTCTGTCTTTGAACTATTAAAACATCCCTATAGAGCTGAAGATTTGCTAAAAATGTTTTATTGGCTTGTTTAATTTGTACTTTAAATTTGTCTCTAATGTAATGCGCTAGGTTGTGAAAAGTCATCTGTATTAATCAGATTGAGACTTACAATTAAGATTCGGCTAAGTGTTGGTCTTTAGTAACTAATGCTTGTCGTTTGAGGCGACTAACGGGATCAAGAGGTCTTGCTCGCTGGCTTGGTTCATGCATGTCATCATATACCAAATGCGTTGATCGATGCTCATAAAAGGCATATTGGTGAGCGCGGCGTTAAGGAACAAACAAACAAACAAACAAACAGAAGAGAGCGTGGTCCCAGTAGGATTTCACTTTCGTTGCATGCATATTACCATGACACAAACCGTTCTAACGGAATAAGAAAAAGACAAAGATATTTACTTAATCAGGTCAGGAAAATACGTAGATGTGTGTCCCATTCGTTTGTATATTATTTCGATAACACGAAAAAAATATTATAATATCAAAGGCAAATATGTATCTATATGAACTAAGATCCCACTTTGAGGGACGGTGGAGTAGCCTTATGGTTAATGCGTGCGCTCCCACAAGCCCACGATCCCCGAGTTCGATTGCCCACATGGGTACAATATGTGAAGCCCATTCCTGGTGATAGGAAAGCGGCGTTAAACAACATACACTCACTCTGTCTTTAAACTATTAAAACATCCCTATAGAGCTGAAGATTTGCTAAAGAGACGTACACTTTTAACACAATCAATATACTGTAGACTTTGTTGTGACATGTTCCGTGAACCATGTAATGACACCTGCTATAGCTCTGTGATGGGTTTATGAGGTTTTTTTAATTTATTTTATCAACTATCCACATTCCGAAATAGACTACATTGAAAGAATTTTTTAAAATATCCAAGACAAGACACACAGCTGGTAAGCGGCTTCGTTGACATGGAAATATTGAACACGTGCCTTTGTTAGTAAGTAATTACAGAATGATCAATAATGTACGTGCGGTTTACCTCAACGTGACATTTTCTGACACCACTCTCTCTCTTCATTGCTTTTCGTTTTCCCGTGGGTCTCTTTAGCAAGCTACGCTATGTCAAATAACCACTGGGGTAACGATTTAGAGCCTTTTTAAGTATTGCACTGGTAATGTACTGGTGAAAAAGCAATGCCATAGTACCGTTCGTGCAATGGGCACTGCTTAAAACAGAAAAATGTTTTCTAAGTCAGTCTATTGTTAGAAGGACGTGCGTCATGAATTGCGAACAGACGATCTTCTGTGACGTCATAAACTGATGACGTCATCTTGAATTACTTGCAACAATGCATATTTATGATTTCATGTTGGTAAAATATTGCTGCGTAAAACGAAACTCACTTATATAAATCATATACTGTTCAAAGCGGCGTTTTCGTTATGTATGCTAGTCAGAATTTCTGTTCGGATTAGCAAAATCGAGACAAGGCCAAGAATTTTAACACCTAAGCTTCAGGAATTGGTCAAATAGCCACTACCCTTCCACCGACTTACCCACCTGTGCTAGAAATAAAAACGACCAGTGTTAAGCGCCTCATCTCTTTCATATTTAGATCTACACATAATGATTCATGGAGAGAAAGAATATCCATAAGACTGAATGACAAGCAGGATGAGATCAACGTTCCCGTTGTGTCGAGCAATTTTCCAGCAGTTTCAGCCTTTGGGTTCTACGTTTCACAACTTTTGAGGAACAATCGTGTATGCTCTTTCAACGAAAATTGAAAATAAGACCATCATACGACTCTTGCACAAAAGTTGTTTGTTCAGGGTTACAACATTCAAAACCTTAATATAGGTTTCAAAAGGTTTAACGATAGACATGTGGAAAACATTGCCAAATTTCAATCCTACTCAGAAACGATTACTACTGTAATTTTAGAACGCATTCTCTTGGGGGCTATGTAGTATTAATGATAAGTGTCTGCCAATCCTGACTATTGGACGGCTGCCATTGTCATAATTCAATATATTTGACGTATGAGCCTCGCGATATAATTGAAATACTGTTCCAAGCGGCATTAAACCAACGAAAATGAGCCTCGCCTCAATCAACCAAGGGATTCTCTCTCTTACATCAGTCAGCCACCATCAATTTCATTCAGTTGGTTTATTCAGTACAACCCACGTACAACGATCATTGAAAACATCACACAGTAATAGATAGTGATATCACGACATTTTTCTTATAGCAAGAGCTTCTAACACATATTTAGCACCGTTAATACGTATACACTTTTGCCTAACAGCCAACAAATGACTGTATTTGAATACGTTATCTGAATAGTATCGTGGTAAGTATTTATTTCTTACAGAACTAAAATACGGACAAGTTAGTAAAACCAATATATTGATCTTTGACAGCCTGATGAGTACAAAACTTGCATAATCTGTTTTTACGTTCGATACCATCTCAAACCTATATTTACCATCAATGGTAGTTCACCAATTCTTAATAGGCATAAAATACGTCTGTATTCACGGATTGGGATTTCAGACAGATAAAATCGAACGATAACTTATGTTTCTATTCCTTATACAATAGCTTATTTGATTTACAAATGTTATCGTACCATGTTTTCCGAACCTGTTAAGCACTAACACATCGTCTCCAACCTCCTGCGAAATCCAGACATATCCAAATCCATATGTAAACTGTAAATGTTAACATGTGTAGCCCATGTGACACGAATAACCTGATCAAGAGATTTATATTAGCCGCGAACAAACCATATAGACACCTGGCATGTTGTGTGGTTGGTCTAAGCAGTGGTGTTTTAAAAGCAAAATCTTTGAAATCATATCGAGCTTTCATTATCAAAGGAGCTCCACCTATTGATGGATCATTGATGGAAGTAAATAAGGGATGTTTTAAGCTCGTTTGAAATACCTTTGAAGCTATGTTCCCCCAAGTTTCTGGTTTATTATGTTTCTGACATGCCCATAGTGTAGATTATCAATCGTGTTGTTGTCATTTTTAACGAAGAAGAAACACGAGCCAGGTTTATGCTTGTGAATTGTTCTGCCGGAATATTGATGCCGCCAATTAATTCACATTGATATAGCAGTTCATTCCATTATCCAGGACACATTAGTCAAAACGATGATCGGTTGCAAACATTACTGTCACTCAGATAAGGGACCGGTTGCAGCAACTGGTGTAAGAGTACATGCTCAGATGGTGCAAAATCCTCTGTACAGATGACAACAGCGTGCAAGACGTCGACGTGTCATCATAAAACATATTGCATGTAATTTAAATCAGAGGCGTCAGTGGTGTAGGGAACGTCAGCACTGGGATAATTGCCGTTGGACAAATGTCATGTTTTCAGACGAATCTAAGTTCACTCTCGACTTCCATGACCGAATCAAGTCATACTCATGGAGACGTCATAGTAAGCGTTCTATAGACGTTAACGTCGTGTAGCATGATTGTTTTGGGTGGTGGGTTCATAACGGCATTGTTGTTTAACGCCGCACTCAGCAATATTCCAGCTATATGACGGCGGTCTTATTTTTCCTTTTAGTCGTAATGTAATAAAATCATTATTTCAAAACATTTTAGCATACATGTCTACTTTCGATTAATCAGTCACTATATCTAAATGAATCCAACAGTTAGCTGGGATTTTGCAGAGCATTAGTCCAACTGTTTGATGCCAAGTAACTTTTTAGTAAATAGGGATTGAAGGTTGTGCATCGTGTTCCTGTGTTCTTAAGATACTGTATTTCTGACATAATGAGTAGTCAAAATGTGATTTTTCACCCATAAGGTCCCTTATCTCATGGTTGTGACTAAATTCCCCTAACAGCAAAACACCCATGTCATGTCATTGCCAACACTCAGTCCTGAACCATTAAACACGTCCTGTTGCACCTCAGTGTCAAATATCCACCCATCACCCTCAATGAACTGATGAGTGGAACAACATAAAGTCTGAAGCATTCGTGCATGTGTGGCCAACAGAAATGATTATATCCGATATTCGTGACGTTGGCTGCAAAATGCAAATTTGACCCCCGACTTCTTTAACGTGTTATACGTTCGCCTTCTGTTGTCTGATTCTAGGTCATGCGGTAACAAGGTCGGACAACTTGATCTGTGTCTCTGGAATGAATTCGAGACACTGTATATACTAGTATGTGTGTATGTGGTGTGTGTGCATACATACTATGCCCCAAAGGTAGGGTTAGTGGGCATCATCAAGTCATATCTTCTGATCCATATGGTATTGCCAAATGGAAATGATATGATGATATATGATGGGGAGTAGGCGATCAGATCTAATTGATTCTGATGGTATGTGTGAGTGTGTGCGCGTGCGTGCGTGCGTGCGTGCGTGCGTGCGTGCGTGTGTGATTCATACCACTGGTTTATTATGACTTTTAAAGCAGAAAAGGGCGAAGTTAAAAGCACACACCGATTATTGTTTAAAAATGTCATGTGTTAACAATATTTGATATCAAAAGCCACTGTCATTAAATGATAGCTTACACTATTCATCTTTGATCACTTTTATGTACATACAGTTTTATGTACATAAAGTTTTATGTACACACAGGCGATAGCCGTGCTTTATGCCTCCCGCGTATGTCCAGAAAAGCTGAGTGAGATATTGGTAAATATTTCACAGATTCATTTCATGTCTGGTGTATTCATCCCATTCGCCCACAGTGCCATTGTTTGTTATCAGCATGAAACTCGTGCCACGAGTGTTTCAGACAGTCGGTGGTGGCAGCGTTGCTCGCACAACATCATGGGACCATGACTACCGACACCTCGTCTCTGTTCTCGAGGTCCCCTTTCCATTATCATATGAGGACAATACCAGAGAGATACAGATAGTGGAGTTCTACAAGCGTGGCAGAAGGTCGACACATGATTAATAGATGACTGATGGCTTTCGATGAATAGTTCAACATTATGGTACGGTTGGTATATAACCGGACGCAGTCAGATGTAAACTGTTAGTCTGTCATGCGTGCGATTAAATAATCCTGGTCATGAACAAAGCACAGATGGCCTAATGGAATGTGACAGTCTTATCGTAAATAGTTTCGTGTTTTGTATGACAGGTGCTACCGCTGGGGCGGGACATGCCTAACCTTGCCGAACACCTGGTGTCGTCTCTCATTTTCAGTGTCCCTTTCATATCGTATTCACTGCTTTTCTCCCTTTTAAGCCCAATGGATTTGTCAAGACTGTCCATTTCTGGCGTTGACGTTATATATATTTTTTGTTGGTTTCATGCCGCACTTCCAGATATATGACGGCGGTCTGTAAATATTTTGTTCATTTATTTGTTGTTTAACGCCGCACTCAGCAATGTTCCAATCTTTGGCGTTGGTCGTCTGGCAACTATATATTTATGGAGTAATTTTATATATCTTTATTGATATAAATATACTGGCTGAATTGAGTTCAACTTGTTAATTAATGTAAATAAATTGATACTGTTATTGTTGACAAGGATATCCTGTTCTGTTTTTATTTGATGGATATGCATACTGTGACGCCACGTCCGGTACTCGAGCCCCCTAGATCCGTCACAGTGGGACTGGTAGGAATATATGGTCAGTCTGAGGGAACGAACTTCATTTCATTCTTCACAACTGCGTTATCACAATAAATCATTTGTATTATGCAGAATTAGAATGTTATATATTTCCTGATAATGCAAATAACGACATAACCCTTTCCATAATCATAAAATAAATCGCCAGCGCAAGAATTAATCTCGATCTTGTGCCGAAACATATGCCATTGGACGGTAAAGGCAACATAGCTGTGAAAGTTATATGATTGGATCCCTGAAAATCAGCGATGACATCGAGTGTTTGCGAAAAGGGTAGCATGTCCTGCCCTACCGGTGGTACTCCCCAGTCACAATTTGCATAAAAAAGGAATAATTTGTTTCATAACGCAACATATAGGAGCACTCCCGATATACGGGGGGGGGGGGGGGGGGGGGGGTTGTTAACAATGACATCGTATTTCCCGCCCATCATCATCACGCCTTCGCCGCTAAACTACATGACACCATACTCTACAGAATTGAGGCATCGATTTTCAAATGATTCGTCAGTATGATACAAAGCCAACGTTACACTATTCAGTTCCACCAGAGCCAGACGATACACAGATAATGGACATACGACCTGTTGCCAGGATTGTCGTCCTCATAACATGGTTCAAGTTCGGAGGTAAGCCTACACATTCCATTATTACCGTAACTCCAATCGTTAAGGGTCCATGTCTTTGTCTCTTTTCCCACAGGTTGTCAAACTATAGGAATATAAAATCAGATCACATTGGAAAAGGACAGGTGTTGCAAATAACTGACATTTCGAATGAAACTCAGTTATGTAATTAAATAAAAGCGACAAAACCCTTTCTCATATTCATTGGAAATCTCTGCCAAAAGCAGAATCGATTGTACGATTCCGACTTTATCATGAGCTTGTTTATGAATCCCTATCAAATAGGGATGATACCAGGTGTTTGCGAGAAGGTGAGTGTATCCTCACAATCCTATCAATCCTCATGTCTTCATCTCAGGATAGTGTAAGCTAGAAATCACTGTTTAAATGATGAGGTTCCTACCTACTGAAGAATTCTTGTTTTGGCCTTCAGCAACTAATGCTTCTCAAGAGAGGGGACTAACGGGCCTCGAAGACTTGATTGATGCGTGTCGCCAATGCTCATGAAGTCGGTCACTAGGTTGCCTGAACCAGACTCGATTATTTACAGACGGCCGTCATTTTCAGGCAATATTGTGTCGTGCGGCGTTAAGCAACAAACAAATATGTTTACAGCGTCTCTTAAGCATGAACCCGGCGTACTCCTGTACCACATTGCTGGTCGTAAGGGCAACCTGTTTGCCGTGGGTTGCGTCCATGTTTCGGAACCTGGAGAAGGGAGTCTGGTGGTTGAGGCGCCGGAGCCGGCAATAGCGTTGCTTAGTCCAACACGCCACTTCAACTCTAACTTTGCCAAGACGGGTGATAGAATGGGCCCGATTCTATCAACCATGCCCTGTGCATACAAGTGTGTGAACATATGGTCTGACACAGCTGTTAAACGATTAACTGTTAAGAAGGATGGTAGGGTTGAACCGACCAACACCTACAAGATCACCTTTGCCCGAACATCGATCCCTCAATCGATCAAAGCTTGTTTTTTGTAAAATTGGAGTGGAGGTGTACATCCCATATCCACTTTGCTGCTACTACTGGCAAGCGTTTGGACATTGATCCAAATCCTGCCATGCGTGTGCTGTTTGTTACCGCTGCGGTGACATTCACGAGAGCACGGGCTTCCAGGGAGGATGTGAAGTGTGTTATCTGCAATAGGAACCATATGACCTCTCTAAATCCTACACTGTGAAGCTAAGACGTGGGTTGCCAGTCTGACTGCAACCACTTCATCAACTATTTCGTACTCTGCTGCAGTCTCCCATTCTGTTACTACTGCCTCTATTATTGTCTGCCAGACTGATCTGACATGGGTCAAGTCTCTGCAACCCATGCCAACCTCTTAACTAGAAAAACCAAAATCCAAATCCAAATCTAAATCTCAAATCCAAAACGGTTAAACCAGTATCTGAACCAGAACCAGACATTGTCAATCCGTCAAAGAAAGACAAAAGCAGAAACGAGAGCAGGTGTGACACCAAAAAATGCCACTCCTTTGGTTCTCTTGACATAGAGGTACATCCATCTCCACGTGACACAAAGGAGTAATTAATTCAAAGTCTTCCTCAACATCGCGTGATACATCTCCTGTGGAAGCACCATGAATCCACAAAACATTATACAATCATGGAATTGCAGAGGTCTTGCGAATAATTTTAATGAAATTACTAGTGAATTAAGATTTTAAACTGTCAAATATTTTGGACAAATGTGAATTGTCGGTCCATGATGACCTTTGTAGGTCACTTTAACATATACTTTAACGTATACTTTAACATATACTTTACCTATCAATCCCGCTGATGAACCACCTTCAACAACGTAGAACTTTACAAAGGCCAGTTGGTCTTTGTTCCAAACACTATGTACAGAAAACATCTAACAAGACTCTGACCCGTGAAGATCCGGGGTAGAAAAGGTCTTCAGCAACCCATGCTTGCCATAAAAGGCGAGTATGCTTGTCGTAAAAGGCGACTAACGGGATCGGGCGTTCAGGCTCGCTGACTTGGTTGATGCATGTCATCGATTTCCAATTGCGTGGATCGATGCTCATGATGTCAATCACTGGATTGTTTGGTGCAGACTCATCATATAGCTGAAATATTGCTGAGTGCGGCGTTAAACAACAAACAAACAAACAATCAGAATGTTCTTGATCCAAAACAACTATTTGCTAATCAATTAAATGCTTTTGGAGACGAAAGAATTCCTAACTCCTCTGCAAACCCTCATATACATGTACGTAAACCACTGTTTGATAATGATTGTGAACAAGCTAAAAAGACAGAATGATACCGGATATACCAGAGAAGGAAATAATGTGTACATATATTTTCTTGTTTTTCGAAATGTTATTTTGTTACAGTTACGAAGTCTCAAGAAGATATACACCAACTACTAAACACCTTGTTCGACAACTACAGTGTTCTTGTCAGGCCCTCACACGACAAGGAAAAGCCAACAAATGTGAACGTTGTGTTTACTATGAAACAGATGGAGAACCTGGTACGTCGGAAAGATATCTCTTTGTCGTAATTTGCAAAACCATGACAATTAATCTTCACTCACATTTAGATTTATTAACTTCTAATTCTAGTTTGTTTTTTAACGTCGTGTTTAGCAATATTGCGGTCATATGACGACGGTCTGTAAATCATCAAATCTCGACCAGACAGTCTGGTGATTGACATCACGAGCATCGATCTACTTGCAAAGAGAATTACGGAACTAGATGCTATCTTAGACAAAACTGAGCACATTTGTATAAGCAAACGGGCGCGGAAGGTTTTGTGAACAAAATGAAAAATACTGTATGTAAAACTGACAACAACATAAAGCTATTCAGAAACCATTTGGTATCAGTCGGTGAGTGAATGAGTGAGTGAGTATGGTTTTACGCCGCTTTAAGCAATATTTTAGCACTATCACAGCGGGGGACACCATAAATGGGCTTCACACATTGTACCCATGTCGGAAATCGAACCCCGTCTTCGGCGTGACGAGCGAACGCTTTAACCACTAGGCTACCCGACCGCCCCCAGTCGGCGAGAAGCGCAAACCAGCATTTAGGGATGTTTCATGAATGGATTAGATGTTATATGTAAAAAATGGTTCTTTTCATATAATACCCAATATCAACCCCCCTATCCCTATATATGCCCTCAGGTCTTTGGTGCTTGGGCTGATATAGTGGTCTTGGGTAGATATTGGAGCATGATTTTAAAACTGCCTTTTAATAACCTCCAAATATCAGCTTCGTCAATGAAAGTAGCAAAACACAGCCAAGTCTCTCAATTAACCCCCTCTAATCTATAATTTACTTGCTTTAAATTTGCAGTTGGAATTTCATTATCTAATGAATGTTTCTTGCAGGACATGAAAACAGAAACAATGAAGTCGTTGGGATTTTTCAGTATTGTAAGTAGAATTTATATACTTCTGTTAGATCGAATGTATAAAATAGTGAACACTAAGAGTCGGGCCAAATAGTTTTGCTTCAGACAACTTTGCCCTTTATTCGGACGCTGCGGTACGACGTGCTCCCAGAGATACCCAATATTTATCATTTATATTTTAATTATATTTAAGCGCGTTGATATTATTTAGTGAGAGTTTGGTTTAACGCCACTTTTGCAATATTCCAGCAATATCACGACGGGGGACACCAGAAATGGGCTTCACACATTGCACCCAATTGGGGAATCGAACCCGGATATTCGGCGTAACGAGCGAACGCTTTAACCACTAGGCTACCCCCTGATATTATTTCAGTTTTGTCACTTCCATAACCATTATATCTTCCTTATGTTTACCGGGACACTGAGCCCAATCGTCTAACGCACCGCAATTCGCTGTACAGAGTTGCGTCCCTTAGGCACGCCAGGAACCTATGATTTTGGGTTCGAATGCCGGTTCGCCCCGATTATGTTTCTAGGTTTGTTAGCACCTTACCCATGCTCGCTGGAGTCACAAAAGTGGTAAACTTCTAAGACCTGCATCACTTCGGCTTTTCCTCCCACATTAAACTGACGGCGTTAAAGCGGCGTTGAAGCCAACTCACTCACTGATCATCCCTAACGCTTACGTTATCCACGTCAGAGACCGACCAACTGATGGAATTTTGTATCGAGATTAGATATCCTCTGCCCTACCCCCAACCCCCCGAATATCAAATGACCGGTATCTTATCTGTAACTATTTGTTTCTCCATCAGACGTGGACAGACGAGTTCCTGGTGTGGAAGCCCGAGGACTTTGGGTTTGTGAAATACATCACTGTCACTGAAAACATGATATGGACACCAGATTATGTTATTGACAATGAGTAAGTAACTTAATGAAATCAGGTTTGCCTTCATTAACTGATTGATTCACTACATGTTTAAGAAATTAATACACACTGAAAAACGTGAAATTTAAAGAAGCATTGATCTCATTGAGCAGTGCTGTTGACACATTGATACATTACCAAGATGCTTTCTTAATATATAGGAGGGAAGAATCTGGGATTCAGACTCACGATCACGATCATCGGATCCATGCGGGACTAAAGAACATAGTTCATAGAGAAATGGGTCTTCTTAGATATCGTTGAGTAAAGCAAGCACGTTTGGCAGCTGTCTTCACCTGACCACACATAGAGAGAATATGAACGAGAACAAACTTATCCTTGCCAGACATTCACATCCACTCACAGACAACATGTAACAATAGGCCCCACATTCTTTGTACATAGACCTGAAATAATATGGATAATGCATATAAATGATAAATTAAATTAATTACTAACGGATCTTGCTCAACAGTTTTTGATGAGGGTTACAGCATTGTATCCCACGCAAACTTTCAAAAAGTTTTAAGGGACACATAACAGACCAACATGATATCCGATGCAATTCCCTTTTTTAACTTGTGAATTGTTCTTGCCTTTGTCCAGGTAAACATTTGACTTGCCTGTGCATGTGTTTGTGTTGGGTGTCACTGGGGCAGGATACGCTAACCTTTTCGGGTACACCTGGTATCATCACAATGTGACAGTGTTTCATAAATACATACTCATGAAATCATACGATGGTTTGTTATAAAGGAGTAATGGATTTCCTATGGAAAGGGTTTAATTGCTTATACTTCTTGGGTGATGTGTGTGTTCCTAGTATGGTGTTTCATGTTGCAGTGTTAGTGTAAAGAAGCGTATGGGAGACGGCAGAAACCTTGTGGTCGTCAAATCTAACGGCACTATCATTTGGGAACCTGGATATGTCGCTTCAACTTCCTGCAACATCGACATCACATACTTCCCCTTCGACACACAAGTGTGCTCCATTAGCATACTTTCATGGATGACAACAAACGCATACCAACATACGACTTCGATAGAGGGTGTTTCTTTGCGTTGGTATACTGAAAATGGAGAGTTTCAAATGATCTCTGCATGGGTGAATTCAACGTTGAGCGCAATGACTCACATTGAAAATGAAACACTCGAGGGATTAGATTTCTTCTTCGTTCTTAAGCGGAGAAGAACCTTCTACTGGTTGTGTCTGGTGTCACCACTGCTGGTGTTCCCCTTGCTGAGTCCTCTGAGTTTCCTGGTTCCTGCAGACAGTGGGGAGAAGACGACCCTGGCCATCACATCTCTACTATCAGTCTTTGTGTTCATGTCGTCCATCTATGAGACGTTGCCGAAGCTGTCGAACCATGTCTCACTATTCGGTTCGTACGTTTGCAAATGTATACTCTATCACCTTTGTTTTATTGAGTGAGTGAGTATTGTTTTACGCCGCTTTAAGCAATATTCCAGCAATATCACGGCGGTGAACACCAGAAATGGGTCTCGCACATTGTACCCATGTCGGGAATCGAACCCGGGTCTTCGGCGTGACGAGAGAACGTTTTAACCACTAGGATACCCGACCGCCCCTGTGTTTTATTGATATTTAGAAGCGATGGCTTAGCCTACTCGTTATAAATTAAATGTTTCGCTCGTCACACTGAATGCCATGTCATGTGTCCCCCAACTTATTGGTATATATTGCAGTTATTAAAATGTCCACACAACTACGTATTCCAACATACTAGTATGTATTAAAAATATGATGAGGAAACATTATCTACTCAAATGACAAAGGGTAAACTTTGTATGGTTTACAAATGTTTACGTATATACTTACGATAGTATCCAAATGGCGATATTGCTATCAATTACTACATATCAATTTATATGTTGTAAAATCGAGTTTAATCATGTAGAGCGGCATGCCATTACAATGCACTTTTGAGTAAAACAATATGGCATCAACTATTACTCAGGATGTTTTGTTTGTTTATTGTTTATAACGCCGAACTCAGCAATATTCCAGCTATTTGACGGCGGTCTGTGAAAAAATCTAGTCTGGACAGGACAATCCAGTGAGGACTTGCATCAACCAAGTCAGCGAGCCTGACCACCCGATTCCATTAGGCGCCTCTTACGACAAGCATAGTCGCCTTTGACAGCGAACATGGGGTTCTGAAGACCTATTCTCCTCCGGATCTGCACGGGCCTATTCGGGATGTAAACAGCTTGCCCTTGGTAATCTGGCAAGCAATGTGGTTTTAGCACTCCGAGTATACGGTGAAGTGTGAAGTTATGATCGTTTCTGCGCAAAGATCGACTTGTGGAACGAGGCCCTTCAGTTCACTTCAGTTGAGTTTCTTTGTAGGGTTGACATTTTAAAACTATTTTTCTCGTTGTCTTTCGTATATTGATGATGGAAAATGATATATCAAATACCCACTCGAAACTCAGTTAATGTTTAATCATTTTTGCCATAAGCAGAAACCCAATCTCAGCAGCTCGTTGCAAATAGGCCCTGTATATCTCACAGAAACAAACTGCAAAATGTCATGCTTGGTGTGATTTTGTACCTATGAAACATTCCAACATACAGTGAAACAACGTTCATCCGGAGAGTATCATGGTCAGTCAAATTGTCCGGGATAGTACGTTGATGATGATGATGATTATGATGATGTCGAAGATTTAACGAGCGCTTTCGGAGGACCCGATTTCGGGCTTTCCAAACTAACAGTGTCCCGATTAGCCATGTTATAGCATTACACATTATAATTACTTTGTTTATTTTTTAAAACATGTTACTGACACAAGATAACTGTATATAATACTACCTGTTTATGTTTCAGTGTTACTGGCATCCATACAAAGCTTTATCAGCTTCCTCTCTGTAGTAGGCAACGTCATCATTTTGAGCATATACAGACTCCCACCCGAACACCGCGTTCCCAGATGGATGACGGGGCTTGCGGCCAAACGTAAGGGCTTAACGCCTGAATTGATGAACCATGTTCCAAATAATGAGGAATCCGAACTATTCAACAGAAGTGACATGAGTACCAAGGACAAAAGTCGTGACAATGTTCACATTACTTGGCCGGTGGTCGCTGGATTTCTGAACAAAATATGCTTTGTTGTTTTTCTTTTTGCTGTGACAATTGTGACTGTTGTATTTGGGGTATTGATATTTGTTTAGTTCATAATCAGTGGGACCCCATTTTACACCAGTCAAAAATGCTAAATAAGAATGAAATATATCTGAAAGAAGGAGATCATTAAATATAAATGTCATGATCGGTTGTCAAAAGAAGCTGTTAACAGTGACTTCTAGGGAAGGATCAGTTTCGGAACCAAAACCTAACACCCGTAACATTTCACGTGCAAAATACAATACCTTCGTGCGCGTGGGCGAGGGATCATTCTTGATTTTTACTCGAAAGTGAAAAATCGCCCTGCGCCATTATCATAAACCTACACGGATATTAACCACTGTTTGGGACGACGTTAATTGTTTCTCCGTAATAGCATCGTATGCGTCTAAGGAGGTTTTACTTTTTCCACGGCACGAATTGTGTTAACGAACCCACAACCTTCTGATCAGTAATCAGGCACTCCAACCATTAGACCTCAGAACTGGTTGAAGACATATGGTTCATTAAAGGTACCATTTGACAGAAATGAACCTGGTACTTTTCTGAGATTTTAAAAAGTTAAGCAAATTTACACTTATCTTCTCGACACTTGGTTGCATGGTTGTTTTTTAAAAAGTGTCTTTCTCAGGAACCAATTTACACAAACGTTGAACTTTGCGATCACAACAGACATTGTCATATGAACGCAGAAATGTCCTTATGCAATTAATGAAGATCCGGCATAGAATAGGTCTTTAGCAACCAATGCTTGCCGTAAAAGGCGACTATGCTTGTCGTAAAAGGTGACTTACGGGATCGAGTGGTCAGGCTCGCTGACTTGGTTGATGCATGTCATCGTATCCCAGTTGCGTGGATCGATGCTCATGGTGTCAATCACCAGATTCTCTGGTCCAGACTCGATTATTTTCAGACCGCCGTCATACAGGTGGAATATTGCCGAGTGCGGCGACAAGCAACACATAAACAAACAAAACCTTCTGTCAGTAACAAGGTGCATGTTTAGAAAAAAAGAGAAAATGATTTCTTATCCAACTGAAAATAGTCTGAGGTAAGAATCCAGTACCTGTTTCTGCACATTGCGTTATCGCAGGGACATGTCCCAGTGAACTGAGGCACCTCAATTCTCTGTGCAGAGTTGCGTCCCTTATATGTCAAAGTCTGCTGTTTGTAGGTAACAAAACCTCAACTCAACCTCCTCTAGTGAAAACAACGAGTCATCAGTGGTATATGGTGTGATCATAAATTGTTTCTTCAATACATAAGGCCTCAGTGGCCGAACAGGTAGCGTATTATTGACAATTTACATGTTGGCCTGACCCATTTCAGTTTGCCTACAGAGCCGGAAGAGGCGTAGAGGATATCACTCATACATATCTACAAACATCTTGAAATTTCCAGTTCATTTGTACGAATCTTGTTTGTTTATCCTCTACGTTTAATACCACAATGTGTAGATGTAGCCTCATCTGTCTGTGCACAAAGTATCCAACATGCAAGTTATTCAACAGTTATTAAAAAGATAGAATCCTTTCTATTAAACAGATCACAGTTTCTGACTGTAAATGGTATCATATCACCTGTAACCTTCACATTTACGGGTGCCCTCCGGGGTTGTGTGCTCTCTCCTGTTCTATTTATTGTGTATGTATCATGATCAGTAACTTTAAGAAATGTTTAACCGTTGTGTTTGCAGATGACACAGCACTGTTCGGATTCCCAAAGCATTCTCAAATTGATCATCCCTCCCAAACTGAAAAATTCGTTTTACTCTAAATAAAAAAACAAAAACAAAGAAAAGGATTGTAGATTTTAGAAAAAGAGGCCGAAATTCTGCCTGTTGTTAGTGATCACAAAAATATTGATTTAGTTGGACAATATAGGTATCTTGGCACCATTATTGATTCGGAATTTACTTGGAATGCAAACGCATAGCATATTTATACAAGGGCCAAAAGCGGTCGTTTTGCTTACGGCATCTGAAGTATTTTAAATTTCTTTATACTACACTGTCTCGGTGAATATTTATTGAAAGCATATTAGTCTTTAGTTTGTTATGTCCACAGCTGGTATGGAAGCCTGTACAAAACTAAATCCATCTAAATTACATAAAATTGCTAATACATCAAGCAGAATTTCAGGTACAATAATTTCAACACAACGTCGATATTTATGAGCAACAATTTGTCAAAAAGGCACTCAAGATACTAAAAATCAAAGTGGGCATATACTTAATTCAAAATGTCAGTGTGTGTGTGTGCGTGTGTGTGTGCGTGTGTGCGTATGTGTGTGTGTGTGTGTACTTTTTAAAAAGCTTCTTTATCGTCACTGTGATAATGTCAAAATTCCTACATGTTTTTACTTGTGGTTATATGCGTAAGTGTTTCATTTTCTTATGTATTTATTGTTATGAGTGACGTTGTATATTTGTGTGGTTCACAAGGGGTCCAGTTTGGGTGGACGGCGTCATGCTTGATTGAGTTAAGCAAGCTGCCTGGCGGGGGAGAAGCGTGCTTGTGGTGATTGGAGTTTGAGTTGGCTTGGTAACTGATTAGTATGGGCCGATCAACCTTTTGTTGTGTGCTGAAGTAGATAGCTTACTTTGAAATTTGTTTACTATATGAGGGCAAGTTATCGTATAGAAAGGAAAAAGGAAAAAAGAATTGGAGAGGGAGAAATATGGTTTAACTGAACGAGGGCAGTTCAGCCCAGCGTTATGTCCGGAGACAAAGTTGGAAGGTCATGTCGAGGCTTCGAAGGAGGAAACGGTTGTTGCCCAGTTATCCTGTGAACTGTGATATATACGTTTGGAACAATGTGAAATGGAATTCATTGGGAATGTGATGTCAAGAAATCTGAGGTGACTATTATCTATATTGCACATTTGCCATATTCCTTTGCCTAAATAGATGTGTATGAGTGCCTTGCCCAGTAACTGAGAATTGTTATATACTTATCTTTGTTTTAATTATTAAATCTAGCTTTAAACTTCAGAGATTGTTGTGTGATTCTTGTAATTGTTATTTGTGGTATTAGCAGGAACCCCTGCCGTTCATACCACACGTTACAGTATTTCAATGTGATATTGTCTTTTTTATATTTTAGTGCTCATCAACGGTGCAATATGAATTTACTGTAGGATGATAAAGTCTTATCTTATCTCTCTAATCTTCTTTTTCCTGGCAGTTTATTTTGCCTTTTACGCTCAATGGAGTCTGTTTCGGCAGATAATTGAGATTGATTATTCTCTGGCGTTGAAATTTTATAATTATCAATGATTTTAAATTATTTCAACCGACATGTCAAGTAGTCCGGATCAAGGATTGATTTTTTTGCCTAACGCCACACTCGGCAATATTTCAGCTGTATGACGGTGGTCTGTAATTAATCGAGTGTGGACCAGACAATCAAGTGATTGACATCGTGAGCATCGATCCACGCAATTGGGATACGACGACATGCATCAACCAAGTCAGCGAGCCTGACCACCCAATCCCGTTAGTCGCCTTTTACGCCAAGCATGGGTTTTTGAAGACCTATTCTACCCCGGATCTTCACGGGCCCGTGTGGTATAAAAATAATTGTGTATGGAATTAGAACGTTATCCAAGTGACGGTATTGCTGTCAGTTGCTATCGATTGATTACTACGTTTTAAAATCGAGTTTAACTTGATATATGTGCATTTAAGCAATTCTCAGTGTCAGTTTAAGTGTCATGCCATAGCATAACGCTTTCGAATAATGCAATATGACGTCTCCTATTGTTTAGGATCGGTTCATACTGATTATGTTTCTAGGTTTGTCGGCGTCATACCCGAGCTCACGCGTTTCACCTCGGCTTTCCTCCTGAATTAAACTGACACGCCTTGACATAACTGGAATACTGTTTAAAGCGGCATCAAACCAAACTCACCCACTCATTCACTATTGTTCAAGATGTCACAAACAGATAACCCAATATAATCGGAAAAAAAAGTTTGCTTCAGTCAAGTTTGATGATACTGTTCAGAATCATTTTTATCAATACAAAGGAGATTGCATTTGGTAACTGTAGAGAGTGAAATTCAGCGGAATAAATGGTCCAACTTTAAAGCTTGTCATAAGTCTTTATAACAACAACCAGACTGTAAAAACAAGTCGTTTGATCATGTCTATCTTTGAAAACACCTTTGTGTTATACTTTAAGAGCAATTTCTTCTGAAAACACACGTCTTTACTTTTAGATGTACGGTTTTTCTGGGCAAACCTTATATAGTTACACATTGTTAAACTGATTTGCGCGTGTTTTATTCTTGGTAAGAGTTTTGGTCTAAACACGCCTTAAAAGAACACAATCATCACTATCACTACTGCTTCATCATGTCAAGGGCATACGTAAAGGGTAGAGACGATTTATATACTTTCTTCTAATGTTTACGACCTAAGACTCAGCCGAAGATGAAAACACGTTAAAGTGAGTTATTTGCAACAGTGATTAAGTATATATGCAAAAGTATGAATGGCTGAGACATTGTCAAAAGACAACATTCTCCCAATTTGGCACACGATGGAACGGACGGAGGAGCTCATGAAACATCCAACAAATATGAACTATTCACTAACACCTGGTGACATCACTGATATTCAGTATACATTTTAGCACAATCTTGCCTTTTACACCCAATGAAATCTGTTTCAACAGATAATCGAGCCTGAATATTCTCTGGCGTTGACGATTTATATAGTTAAAGGGTCATCATTGAATGATTATTATATCAATATTCAGGCGTTATCTATAAAAATTGAGATATCAAATTTAGTGATGCTCGTATTATCACAAATTCCTTGATAATGAAGTGTACAATTATCAAGATGATATGTTGAAGATAAGAGAGTTCTCTCAAGAAACGCAGTAACTGTTGCAAATAAACGCCACAAAACCCTTTTCAGAATCATTCGAAAGCTCTGCTCGAAGCAGAGGCCATTGTACGATTCCGACTATAATGATCACAAGCATGTGCGTATGAATGACTATCAGATAGTGGATTCCGGGGTAGAATAGGTCTTCAGCAACCCATGCTTGCCGTAAAAGGTGACTATGCTTGTCGTAAAAGGCGACTAACGGGATCGGGTGGTCAGGCTCGCTGACTTGGTTGATGCATGTCATCGATGCCAATTGCGTGGATCGATGCTAATGATTTTAATCACTGGATTGTCTGGTCCAGACTCGATTATTTACAGACCGCCGTCATATAGCTGGAATATTGCTGAGTGCGGCGTTAAACAACCAACCAACCAACTAACCAACCAGATAGTGATGATACCTGGCGGTTGCCATAAAGTAAGCGTATCCTGCCCCATCGGTTCCACCGTCACAAACACATACAAAGACAAGTCAACAAAGACGAGAAAACAAGCTGTTGTTCATATGTCAATCATGTTTGCAGAAGACATTGGTGTACTTTCGGCTTTTAACAGATACTACACACATAAAAAGGTGTTGTGACTATTCATAGTGACAGTCCCTTTGTGAGAAGAAACCAATATATGTCCCTTTCAGTTAGGAAATAAAGCTGTTGTAGTTTATAGTTATTGTGCAGTAAGATAAATAAAATTCGGGGAGAATAATGTAGTATCTGGGGACTTCTGCAGTATATTCAGCAGAAGCTATTTTCTTGTGAGCAGGCTGCTGTATTACACGGAAACGGACCCCGTGTGATACAGTGCTACTGCTGTACTGTGGCGAGGCTGTACTGGTGTGTTGCATCAGTTTTCTGGTCTCATGTTATGTCGTATCACAACGATGCATTATAATGTCTGATGTATG